GCAGGGGGTGGTGTGGGCTTTGGCCGTGGGCGCTGCCCGGCCGGGCAGGAGCGGGACTTACCCGTGCGGGGGTTGCTCAGTGCAGCTGCCCCGGCCGGCACAGGGGCTGTCCTTGGGCAAGGCTGCTGTGCCGGCAGGGCCCGGGAGCTGTGCCGGCCTGCCAGGGGCTGCGGGACAGTTCCGGTGCACCTGCGTTTGCCACACGCTGGCCCGCTCGGCCGGCAGCCGGCCCAGCCCTGTGCCGTGGCTCGCGCTGCTCATTGGGCGGCCCTGGGACGCTCGGGGAGGTCTCCGTGAGTGCGTGTGAGCCGAGGGCTTGGTCGTGCTCAGGCCCAGTGGGAGGGAGCCTCCTGTCCCATTTGGAGTAGAGGGGAGAAGAGCTGGCAGTTGGGTTTCTGGCAGCTGCCTCCTGCCAAGGGTTGAATGGATAGGGGAGAGCTCAGTAGACAGGGAGCTGGCTTTTGCAAAGTGATGCGCGAAAGATAGTCTGGGAATAAAATCCATAGACCCGTGTGTGTAGAGCAGGTATTTGTTTATTTCAGTGCTGGAGGTGAAGAGGATTTCTCCTCCTAATTCATCCACCTTTGTCAATTGCTGTGGTATATTTAGTAATTATTGCTTGCTGTTACTATGTCATTATAACATACGGAACTAATATACACAGTATATTATACACTCTGAAACTAATTTATATATTATAATCTCATGGCTATAGATAGTTCTTTTTCACTGTGCTTGCACCTCTCCAATTTGGGGGTCGTTGGGGGTCTTTGACGAAGGCTTCCAAAGTCATCTTTGCATCTGAACTTTTCAACTTTGTTTTCAGAGCATGCACAGTTACGGTGTTCCTAGGTCTGTCTGGTCCTAACTGGTCTAATTTCTTCATTTTGTGGCTAATTGGCTTGATGTTTGCTAATTTTTCATTAGTACTATACTTACCTATCTCTGAAACTGAAAACCTGGTGAGATTTTCATTTTTTTTCCCCGTGTCTCCAGCACTGAGCTACTAGTTAACCATATACTAGCCACTACAGAAATAGTATAGAAAAACATTTATATCAGGTTAAATAGATACATGAAGTTATGATTCAGGTTATATTGATATCTGGTGATACAAATATATCAGGTTATATTGATACTTTATAACTCAACCTATATAAGCAGCTTGTAACTTTGACTTAAGTTCTATAGGCATCAAACCCCCCATGACATGTGGTGGTATTTTTCTTTCTCACCCTGTTTTGGGAGGAGGTGAGCTTTTGTCTTCCCTGACAAAAGCACAGTTGCTGCCAAGGGAAACACACCTGAGGACCAGTAGTGACCCAGCCTTCCCTTTGCTTCCTTTCTTCTTCCCTCACTTCTGCACAGCTCCTTCGTGCCAGAAGCGCAGTGCTGCCTCACCTGAGGATTCAGAGCTGCCTCCAGGCCCTTCTGGACAAGTCCAGATCCTCAAGAGCGTGAGGCTTCCCCAGCAAGTGCCAAGAAAGTGTTTGCCACATCTGGACTTGGGGTTTCATCAGGCGAGCCAGGCACACACAAATTTCAATTCCAGCCAGAGCTCATGATTCCACCATTTCCTGCGCACCATCGAAGCACTTCTGCGGCCTCTCCAGAGAACAGCAGCTGCATTTCTCCAGAGCAGCACTTGCCAGCCAACATCCCATCAGGTACGGAATGTGTTTCTCCCCTGGCTTTTCAGAAAGATCATAAAAAGTGACTGAAGTATTTTGCCGCGGTGCTCTGTCATGTGTACATTTGACTGTGAGAATCAGGTAGCAAGCGTCAAGGGTACTAGGAAGCAGGATCATGAATATCAAAACAATCTCTGTCTGCTTTTCCCGTCCTTGCTGCAGATTTGGAGGGTGTTCTGGGCATTTTCCAGACAGCCTCTGTGTAGAGGTCAAGGGCGAGGCAAAGAACATTTATCCACAACTGGTTGGTGTCAGGTGAACTCCCATTTTTCTTTGAACTAAGTCAAACTAGGACTCTGATAGGATATTGCAGAGTTTACAGATTGTCTTTTGTTGAGATGAAATACAAGGGATGGGACCACCGTGCTTTGAGATGATTTATTGCTTAAGTAGCCCAATAAGGTATCAGTCCCGAGGCATGAGATTTACAGGCAACAAGTCAACCATAGCTCGAGGAAGTTACGAGTTTCTTCTCCACATGGCAAAATACAACTTTTTAGTCCAGTAGACAGTTGACACGAAGTTTGTTTTCACTTATTAACCTATCACCTTTACTTGATTTTGCCACACAAGTTTGTTTTCACTTATTAACCTATCACCTTTACTTGATTTTGCCACACTGCGTCTGTCTTTTAACCAGTAAGCTAACGGGTCACGTATTCACACACACTTCTGTTATAGTTTCTAGGTCTCTAACTTACTTTATAAATCACACTATTACACTTTATACCTCAAACTATTTTACTTAATATAATTTCTTACTTACTCTAGGCGTATTCTTACTTGCAACTGTAAGAACATAGGTTTATAATTTCTCTACCCGATGTCTGTATACTTTCATCACTACATCAATCCAGGCTTTTTCTAAGGCTGCAGATTTTCGATTTCCAACAGTCTCTCCCGTAAATAATGTTATTAAATTTCAGTGCACGCTGTGAGTCCCCAGAACAGTTGCAGCTGCAGACCATGGCCTCACCTACATGGTTGCTCTTTAGAATAAACTCGCAGTTTAAGTTTAGCATGTGTGTCTGCACCTCTGGCCTCTTCCTGGGTGAATGCACTTTCTGTGGTCTCTTGTGCTCAGAAACTCAAGCAGCCAAATCCCAAAGCTGCTGGGAAGATGCAAAAGGCTGTGATCGAAGGTGATTATGTCTGTGTGTATGTCTCTATCGGTTTCACAAGCCATACTTTAATCTATGTACATGTCAATTAGGATAATACTTTTTAAGGGGAAGAGCTCACTCTTCCAATTCCCTGGGAAGTTTTTAATACTTTTCTGGAATTGAGGTTGCTGTGCGCTTCCTGTGATGTTTGATCCAAGGCAGCAATAAAGCTGTGCGTCCCAAAGCCTCATTTTGGAGCCTCACCGATGTTTTTGGATTCCTCCAGCAGCCAAGGGCACTTCAGTCCCCAGTGCTCCAGCTGGCAGTGCTGGTTATGCAGCCCAAGCTGGGTATGGAGTACTCCTGGGGAAGTGGAATTGCCACCGCTGGATCTGGACCTTGTTCTGGAGACACTGGAGGAGATGCTTTCACCATCTCTGCCTGAAAGGTCTCCCTCTGCTCAGGTAACTCCATTGGACAGGGATGAAAGGGGATGGACTGAGAGCTTCTGAATGGTGTTGCATGGCTGAGAAGCAAAAGCTTCTTGAATTCAGCTGTGAATGGACAGGGAAGGATTTGCTTGGTAAAGCAAGATTTGCTAAGGAAGAGGGAATGAAAAGGGGGGATACCCCTTAGGTGAGGATGAGAGGTGTTTGCCAGGTTTGGATGCTCCTTTTTCTGGGAAGAATCCCTCATGCAGGGGCATTTGTGGGGAGGATGTGGAAGCTTTGTGGGTTCTAACAGGCTTTGTTTGATGGGAAAGAAGAGAAGGGCGTTTGGAGAATTGCCACTGAAGGCAGAGTGGGAGGGGCATGCGAGAGGTGCCAGCAGCAGATGCGGGCTCTGCCTCTCTTGGGCTGGAAGGCCAAGGCAAAGCAAGGGCTGTGCTGCAGCTGCTCCTGCAGCTTCTGCTGCTGTGTGAGCCCTGCTGTGCGTGTAGGCATTCTCAGAGCTGTGTGTGGCGATGGGCTGGAGCTGCAGCTGTCTTGCTGCCCCCCTTGGCTGCCTTTTTCATCTCTTGTTTTTCCCGCTGTGCCCCTTCTGTCCCCCTGTCCTGCTGGGTCCGAGCTGGGGCTGGGCCAGGTGGAGCAGCAGTTCCAGCCCCGGCTGTCCCTGGAGCGGTGGAAGCTGCCGGTGGCCCCGGGCACTGTCCCCTGAGGAGCTGCTGAGGGACGGTGAGACTGAGGGGGCTGAGGAGGCGGTGACGCTGAAGGGACGGTGACCTTGAGCTGCT